CCGATATCGATCTGTAGTCGATATCGAATATAGGTTATAACGGGTTGGTAGCCGTCCTAAGGGACATTCGTCGCTTTCTTCTAGACGCAGAAGTCCCGGTACTACTACGTAAGATTTATCGGTTGCCTCCGTACCGGGCCCGCTAATAGGCTATAATGTAGGCAGATTACGGGTTCTAGCGAGAGGAATACCTAGATAATTACAAGTTCGGAGGTCTTGTCCGGTACGCGGCGCCTAAGGCCTCGGGGGGTACCCGGGACCCTACGCCGGTACTAGTAAGCGACTACGCTATAGCCGAAGCGCCTTCGGCAGAGGGTAGCGTCGGGGGTTCGCGTATAAGGAGCGGGATATTTGGCATATTTAGTAGGAGGTAGCCGGGGGTCTACTAGGGTTGTAATAGTTTGTCTTATACTATATACTTTTCTTTTGTCTGCTGCTCGCTCCCTTAGGGGATACCCGCGATAATCTCTACTTATCTAGTAGCTTATTTATGTTTTCGAAGTTGTCCTTAGGTTCCTAAGTATTAAAGTCCTTATCGTACCCTTTCTACCTAAGTCGGTATTCCGTCTCCCCCTTCCTTTTCCTTTCGTCTACTATCTTATCTACTTCCTATACCTCGGTACTATCGGCGGCGATATCGGGGGACGCTACGTTCGCTAGTAGAGCGCTAGGCCTTTTGTAGAAGGGTTGTAGAAGGGAGATATAGAACACTAGGTATATACGGTAGGTATTTAGTAGGATCAGCCGGTATGCCTACTAGCTGTCGCTGACTACCTTATTAACCCGGAATAGGCCTAGGAATTTGAGGGACAGCTTCTTGCTAGGCTAAGTTAGTTTTAAGTTCTTTGTGCTTAGAAGTACTAGATCTCCCTTAGCGAACGTCTATAGAGTGTAGTAGTCGTTATACTAGCGCTACTGTCGCTTCTACGCTTATTATATACGAGTCGCCGCTTCCGCTCGTACCCGTTCTAGTAGCTAGACTTTGTCCGATACTGCCGGCGCCTCCTCTTTATAGTAGACGTCTACGTCTAACGCGGACTACCGGGGATGTTTCCTATATACTATTATAAACAGCGTCTCGCCGGTAGTCGCGTGTACCGTATTGTTGTATACGAATTCCGCGTATAGCAGGAGGGACGCCTAGTCGTCCTGTCTATTAGACGTAAACATCCGAAGGTAAGCTTCTATCGTCTAATTCTAGCGTTCCGTCTGCCCGTCTGTTTAGGGATAGTACGCGGTGCTTAGCCGTCGTTTTATCTGGTATTAGTAACAAATCTCGGTCTAGAATGCCGAGGTAAAGAGTATGCCTCGGTCGCTAACGATTCCCTTAGGGAGCCCGAATTTGGTACCTATATACGTTATAAACACTTTAGCAAAGTCCCTTGCCGTCTACGTTTCTTAGGCCGGAATATACAATAACATCTTCGACAGCCTGTCGACAATAACTAGTATAGAGTCGTACGTTACCCCGCGGTGCTTCGCTAGGGGTAACTTAGTAATGAAATCCAAAGAGATCTCCTCCTATACATTTCCTAGTACCGGAAGCGATTTCAGCTCCCCTAATAGCATCGTCCTAGGTGCCTTGGCCTTTTGGTATACATCGCTAGTAAGGCGCGTAAGGCTTTCGTCGATAAGGGGAAGCGGGCATCGGTCCTTGATAGTAATCGAATTCAAGGCGCGGTAGTCGACGTATAATCGTAAGGTCCCGTCCTTCTTTGGTACGAACAGCAGCGGAGCCCCGGCGGGGCTAGTGCTATATATAATCCGTCCCTGCTCCAACTCCTTATAGAGGTATTCCTAGAGGACTTCTAGCTCCTGCTAGGAGAGATAGTAGAGGGATCCGAAGGGCGGTTCCTTACTATCTATCAGTTCGATAGTATAGTCGGTTGCCTTGTAGGCCGGAAGGATCGCCGCGGAGTCGTTGTCGAATATATAGCGATATCCTTCTAATACAGCGGGTAGGGAGACTTGTTTTGCCTCGCCTTGGTTAATCGCGTAAATCTGGAAGGTCGAGCCCTAACCTCCCCGGGGGTTCGCTAGGCGTAACTACCCTACTATATAGATAGGGGAGGAGTCTTCCTTCGATTCGCGCTTTAACCTCTTTAGGGAGACCCTCTCGAAGCTAGAGATTGTAAGTCCCTATTGCTATATGCCGGGACCGTTCTAGATATCGATGCCTAGGGTCTTTAAGGAATGCCGGCTAAGGAGGATAGAAGGTCCGTCCTAGTCGACACCGTAGGCGAGAATCTTCGTAGTTCGGGTGTCTATACTAGAGTCGCTAAGTTTTAACTGGAACTCGTAGGCGCCGTAGTAGTAGGTTTCGTAGGTCGATAGCTATCTAAGTAACGGGAGTTAGGCCTCGATTCGGGGTAGGCCTATTTCTACCGCTACCTTCTAGCTAATCGTAGTTACCTAGGCGTACGTGTCGAGGGCGACCTGTATAGGTTTCACACCTTCGCTAGTAATAACAGTTCCTACTGTTTCGACAATGTCCCTAGATTTAATAGGTTAGGGCCCCGTCGCGTCCTAAGTGTTCGCGACGAGCCTAATTAGTTTTTTAGCTAGACAGGGGTCCGGTTAGGATTACCGCGCTTTAATAGGCAGTCTAGGCGAATGTGACCTATCTTGCCGTACTTGTAGCACTTTAGTCCTAAGTAATCCCCTTTGTCTAGGGCGGCTTTCGCGGTAGCGCCCGATTTCGGGGCTTCAGCCGCGTTGGTACGCGGTTCCCTAGCGTCTCTCCGGCGATCTCGATCTTTGGATTTTGGCTTGTTGCTACTAGTCCGCCCTTTACCGCCTTAGGTCCTCGGGTAGTTCTTCTCGATCTAGGTCGCTAGGTTGACTAACTCGTCCCGTGTTTTAGGGATAGAATTGTAATCGACGATCCGTCGGCAGGTCTCCGGGTATAACCGGGCGAAGAACTAGTACAACTGTTGTTCTAGAGTATACCGTTCTAGCTATACCTCGAGAGTCTCTAGGTATATTAGGAACTCCCTTAGAGACTAGTTAGTACGTTGTTTAGCGGACGCGTAGTTTAGGTAAGTCTAAAGCAGTCGAGCGTTAGGATCGTCTAGGAGGTTAAGTAGGAACTGCTTAAAGTTATCCCAAGTCGTATCCTTACGCTCGGCCTCGGTTATCCGCTACTAGTATACGTACTAGCGGTCCCTCGGGGTATACCCCTTAGAGAGGTACTATATTGCCTAAGTATACTTCTCGGCTTCCCGTTAGAAGGATCGTAGATTCTAGAGGAATACGACTTCGTACGATATTACGAAGTCGCCGTATTCTTTTAAGGACCTCCCCTCGTATTCGCTAGAGGCTTTTACCGAGCGTTTAGGAGGAGGGGCAATATCGGTTTCTATAGTATACCGCTTGTAACCGCGGCTACTCTAGAGGTCGGCTACTTCTTAGATTAGTAGTAGACGTTCCTTTTCCGCCCGTAGGCAGGCGATGTCTTTCTAAAGGTCGCTTAGCTCCTCGCGTTCGACGATGATTTCCGGCTCGGAATCGTTCGCGTCTTCTAGCTAGATACTAGCGAGAGCTTCTATAGATTCCTCCTAGTCGAGCAGTTCCTAAACTCGTCCTACTTCGATATCCGTAGAGGAAGATTATTTAGTAGAGGCCTGTTCTAGTATAGAGGGGTTCCCCGGCGAGTCGCTAGGATTCTGTCTAGTAGAACGTCCTCCTGCTATTATTCGGACCTTTCCCTTATAGTTAAGGTACGAGAGTTATTATATAATGGTTCTATAAGCGTAAGGGTATACGTAACAGAGGTCTAAGGTATAAAAGGTATAAACAATATACGGCTTACTAACTGAGGTACAATAACTCTACCCTTCCTTCCTAGAGGAGGGCCCTCGCTATATATACAAGCTATTCTATTGTCTACTCCTCGCTACCGGCACCGCCTCCTCTTAGGCAGCAGCCGATAACCGGTTCCCTTAGGAACCCTCTTAATTCAGAACGTCTCCGATCGGTAGGGCATCCCTTCTATACCGGATCGCCGGGGGTCCGCGAGGGCTTCCCGTCCCGCGCGGCACGCCCCGCCCGCCTCGCCGGGGGTTCGCTAGGGCTTCTCTGCCCTAGCGTGTCACAATATCCCTAGTTACAAGTATATAGCCCTAGATACCTTATCCCGTCGACTACTATTAAGTAAGGACGTCCCGGATCCGCTAGAGTTAGAAGATGTCGAGCGTATAGTCGATAATAAGTTTTTCGAGAGTTTCTACGTTAATATAGCGACGCTTACGCTACGTAGATTTGGTTAGGCCTCTAGGGCCTTACTAGGAGCGGCCGGTACTACCGGCGGTACGGTTTAGGTAGCCGCGATCCGGATTGTTAGCTAGACCCCCGAAACCTTACTAGATATAGGAGACGTCGACCTTGCCTATATTAATTCTATCTTCCCGGACGAGTTAGACGGTCTACCTAAGAGTTATTTGTACTTTTCGAAGGCTGTCGCCTATATCCTCCTTAGACTACGTCCTTTATCTTGTATATCTCGATCCGAGTACTATCGGTTTTTAAAGTACTTATAGAGATTTAAGATTAAAGATAAGGTTCTCTTCCGCTAGAGCCGTCGCAACTTCCCGTTATAGCGTATTATCGATAAGCTATCTACGCGAGACCAGATCCTCCGGGCGGTCTATAATAAGTATAGGCACCGTAGTACCGAGGGTATATACGCAAAATTAGTACGGCGCTACTAGTAGGACGGTATATATAGCGATTGCTAGGCATATATATAGAGGAAGTACGCTAAGTATAATTAGTATAACGGCGTTCGTACCTATGCTCCTTTAGGCGAGGTTGCTTCTAAGGCTATCGGTAAACGGTAGTATATTAACGGCGTTTATATTAATACCCGTAGGTCGATTATAATAGCGCGGGAGGCAACGTCTCGGTAGCCTAAGGCGTAGGTATTCGTTAGCCTTACCGCTAAACAGATTACGTCGAAGTAGGTCGCGAAATTCATCTAGGAGGAGATCTTCTACCGATAGGGTACGCCGTACGAGATCCTCCTCGATAACGCTAAGTACAACTTAGGGGAGGTAGAGGCGTTGCTTCGTAAGTACGGCGTCGCTCGTCTATATATCTTACTATACTATCCGGAATCTATAGCTATCGTTAAAGTTAAGTACAAACCTATTATTACGGCGCTTAGTAAGATAACCGACGGAGGCAAGACATCCTAGATCCCGTACGTACCCGTAGTACTATAGGCAGAACGTACTATAGAGGTATCGTCTACCGGTAAGACGCCGGTAGCGTTAATAATTAGCTACGATACTATTCTACCTATTGAGCTTTAGTTCCCTACTACGTCTATCTAGGACTAGGGTACTATTCGCGACTGCGAGAGTCTTCTTACTGTATACGCCGCCGCCCTCGAAGCTATAGCCCTACGTATAGAGGACGCCCGCCTACGATAGGAGAGAATACAGGACTAAGCAAAGGTATATTTTGACGATCGCTACTATATCGATCGCCGTGAATTTAAGGTTAGTAATTTAGTTATAGTATATCGGAACGAGTTAGAAGCGTCGCGTTCGGCGAAGCTAGTTTTCCGTTAGAAGGGTCCCTTTCGTATATATACCTATCGTCCGGGTACCGCGTACTATAAGTTAGAGGGGTTAGATAGTATTGTCTATCGGAATACCTATAATAAGGACTCTTTTAAACTCTGTCGACTCGACGGCCTATTAGATAAGGGCAGTAGTATTACTAGTTCTAACAAGTAGGGTTAGTACTAGATACTAGTTCCCCGCCCTACCTTTTCAACTTTCTATACGCCGACCGGGTATCTCTGCTTCCTAGTATCTCTCTCCGTAGTACGGGCTCGTACTGCTTAATAGATACCTACTCTCCTTCTTCGTCGTCGTATAGTTAGAGGAGGGAGTAGCGTACTCGCTACTCTTTTAATTTTTCGCTATTCTTTTGATTCTTTTTCTATTTGTTGCGCCGCCGCCGCCGTCTAGTCTTTTATCTATAGCTAGGCCCTCCCCGCCGCCGCCGCCGTCTAATCTTTTATCTATAACTAGGCCCTCCGTAGGCGTCGTTTTAGATATGCCCTACGCTTTTAATAGCGGCGGGTTAGTACCGTCCGAGTTTGGCTACTCTAGGATTATAACTATATTGCCGGCCGGGCGCCCCGGTACCTAGTAATAGTTAGGCTAGAAGGTTTCTAATCCGTCCGAAGGTTTTTAATCTATTATTTTTCGCTTTACCTCCTAGCGTTGTCCTCGCCTCCTTATAGTATATACCGTATACTATATTCCTTACTACGGTCCTTATATCTAAGGGTCCCTACGATGCCTAACTACTACTTTACGTCGGTATTCTCGTCCTACCCTTACTTATCTTACTTATCTTTATATCGGCATTCTCGTACTATCCTTATTTATCTCGCCTATACGGGTAGCACTTCCCCGGGCGCGTTACTTTTCGCGTTATTTGTTTGCTACAGCACTGCCGTAAGCGCGCCGGCACTCCTACGAGCGCGAGTTACTTTCGCGTTATTCCGCGAGCGTAAGTTACTTTTCGCGTTATTTAGAGGATAAGAGTGCCCTTTTCTTCCTTTTGAACTTACTCTTCTTCTTTAACCTACCTCCTTACCCGCCGTACCCCCCGGCCTATATTCTATATAGCTACTATCTCTACTACCTCGAAAGGAGCCGCGCCTATACTACGACCTACGCCTACGTTAATAACAGAGCTGCGCTCGCGCGCGCAACTATCGATTCCGCGCCTATACTACGACCTACGCCTATACTAGTAGCAGTGCTACGCCCCTACGCGTAACTATCGGTCCTACTATAGCTAACCGTAATGTACCTACCTAACCCGAGACGGACAACGGCGATAGGTTAGAATACTAGGTAACCGTTCGGGAGAGGAGACAAAGCTCGATATCGTTCTTAATTATAGTAGCAAGAATAGATATATTATTATACTCGGCGGAGGTAAGGAGTATCCTTCGTAGGGTAACCGACTTAGACGCGGTCGCTACCCTATTACTAACTCTCGATACGCTAGTTAGAACGGAAGTAGTGCGTACAGTATACTAACTCTACGATACGGCCTTAACTAGTTATAATACTATATATATATCGATTCGTAAGAAGTTCGTAGCTATAGCTCCGGACTAGGAGATCCTAGAAGGTAAACCAATCGAAGACGTATTCCCCGGTTTTGCAAAGGTAGTAGATCGAGGAAAGGACGCCCGAAATCGACGAAGGACGGCTTACTAGAATGTTATTAACCGATAGTTCGGTAGGGATGTCGCTACTGCCTAGAACTTCCTTACTAGTCTAGTAATATAGGAGGTTTTGCGTACTTATTTATAGGCCTACGACCTAGGCAGCCTAGCGGCTCTTAGTTCTAATCGTAGGCAAACACTACGTACTCTTGCTAAAGTAGTAGCGTAGCGATTGCTTACTCCTATCCCTAGTCGATCGAAGATACTAGAGGTTATAGAAGGTAATTATATTTATATACGTATACTGCCTGCCGACAAGTAATTAGCGGAACCTAGAGAGGAGGTAGAACAACGCGTCCTACAAATACGGTTTAGGTTCGTCTACGATAGTAACTTTTACAAGATCGTAAGTAAGGGCTTTATTAAACCTACGCTAATACCTTCGGGGCTATCTATACTACTACCTCTACCGCTATTGTCTAAGTAAGCCTAACTCCGTCTGTACTAAGGACGCTATAGGGAGCCGGACCTATTACCGGACTATAAAGAACCTCCGAGCAAACGCTAACGTACGTTACGACCGTTAACGCCGGAGATACTATAGGTACTAGATAGTACTTCTAGTTAGAGCCCTATTAATACGCGTAATCCGTTAGGCCCCTAGGGCCTTACCGGGATAGGCCGTATAGAGCCGGGCCCGGAGGCTACGATCCCGACTACGGAGATAGAGCCGACCGAGGATACGACTAGCGAGGAGGTAGATAACTAGACTAGGGAGTTTACCTTTAACGAAGAACTAACCGAAGACGTACTCGCTAAGGGGGGACAAGTTACGTCTCGTATATATACGCCGTTGTCTATATACCGTTATACTCTTTACCCGGATACGACTAATCTATATCTTATTAGCCTATATATAGCTATACCCCTCTATTAATAGCCGGAGGATATCGTCGACCGAGGCGTCTAGCTATATATAGTAGAGGAGGACCTAGTTCTGTTATACCGGCACTATACTAGGGTATTTGCGAGCTATAGGTTTAGACTTAAGTTAAATATCGCTACCGCTCTACTAACTACTCGTATTACCGAAGTCTACAAAGCTTATATTAACGGCTAGTTTCTAGAATACTAGTATTAGTACCCGGAATTCTTCTCTATAGCCTACTGTCCAAAGTACGTAGGTAACGCACTTAGTCTATATACGTTCCTGTCTCGAATATATATAGGAATACTAGTTACTCCCTCCGCTACGCCTAACGTAGAAACCTTAGTTACTAAGCTTCGATCGTTTATAATTAACGCCGGCGATTAGGCTACGTTCGATCTTACCGGTTCAGTTACGAAGGAGGGGGTTTTTAGGTATACTAAGACGATCTTCGGGGATATCGAATATAAGTTCGATATATACTTATAGCACCTCCGTCGTATAAATAGTCGCTCTAACCTAGAGTAGAATAGGTCGTAGATATATAGTATAATTCAGTAGCTCGTCCGCTAGGATATCTTATACTAGGCTTTATACGCTTCTTTGTACGCAGATAGTAATTACCGTTTAGTGTCTTATCCTTATTACGCGAAGTACTAGCACGGTAACGATAAGGGTAACGAGAATATAAGTCGTAAAGGGTTCAAGCATATAGACTATAACGTTATAGATCTTATAGTAGGTAAAGGTACTAGTTAGATCTAAGGCTCGGTATCGTTCGATAACGAGACTTATAAGGACTATACTATACTTGTTTAGGGAATATACTATAACGAGACGTTTCGTAAGTAGGCAGAGGTAAACCGCGCCGCCGGTCGTTTGCAGAATAGCCGGATCTATAATATTATAGATAAGGAGCTCGGGCCTAAGTTAAGAAAGAAGATAGGTCTAGATTAGTAGCTAACTCCGGTCTAGCGATATAGCATCTATATTACCGACCCCCGTATTCCTTATAGCGTACTACCTTCGTAGGGCGTACGACGTACGATCCTCCCTTAGTTTGTAGCTATTACTAATATAGAAACCGGAGAGATAGAGAACCTGAAAATAGGGACCCTTTAGTAGATCGCAGAGGTATACCGGACAATAACTGCCCTACTATCTAGCCCGTCGGGCTACCCTAATATATATAGCCTAATTCCGTACCGATTTCCTACTATAGCCTAGTTAGATAGCCTTAGCCTAATCTCGGACGCTCTAGTTAGTCGCAAATCTTAGGCCGATATAGAGGTTATTAACGAGTTGAACTATATTGCTTATATAAAGTCTCTTCCTAAGTAGGAAGCGTACGTACTTAAATAGCAGGCAAACGCTATTAAGAGATATAAGAGGGCTTTCGATAGTGTTCGCTATTCTAAGACGATACTCTTCGGGAACGCTAGTTACTTCTGCTATAAGGGTAACTTTAAGTCTCGACCGTAGCCTAATTTTTCTACTCTCGACTCTAAGTATATAGAGGAAGGCTCCGGTACTATACTTAAGGGCGACGTGTTCTAGATAGAATAGATAGTACGTTGGTTAGGCCTCCGGGGCCTAACCGGGAGCTTCCGGATATAGGAAGGGTTTAGGTTTTTACGGTTAGGTACCTTGTTTTCGACGAGTCGTTTAGGTCTGCTTTTCTAAACGTAATCGTTAGATAGGGGGAGGGGGGGTTTTGTTATACCTATATCTATAGGACAGACATATAGGTAGGGGAGGGTGTATTAAGCGGCTAGGCGTGTTTCTTCTATATAGGGCGTTAGGGTAGAGCCGAGAGCCGGACGGCCTAGGAGGGCCGTACTACTCCCGGCGGGTAGCTATATAGGGTGCTTTTCTTCTTTTTTATAATAGAGAATAGGAGGGACATAATCAGGACGTAGACGTACGGATACCTACTCTACTATAATTAATGTCGTTACCCTATAGTGCGCTTTGTCTTCTGATATTACCTTTCCTACTACCTACGGGCATCTCCGCGTCCTTCCGGACCTCTACCTATCCTACCCCTTTTACCGCGGAGCTACGCTACG